ACAGTTTTATCCAATTAAAAAATGCACCTGGCATGGCATTGGGTGTATCTAGTCTCTGGCCTACAAGGTCAGACAGCTAAGTTTATCTCCCCCATTATTCAAGCAGGCTAGAAAGCAAAGTTACTTTTTCAGAATTAGATAGAGGCCGTCCAAAGACTAGCAGAGAATTCCAAACAGTAGTTTTACAGAATAGGGGTTTTCCTTCACATTCCCCTCAGCCCCTTTTCCCACAAGCTTTTCAGCCTTGTGGTACAACAACCACGGGATATAATGGTGAACAGGGGTGTCGATCAATCTTTTACTACTTCCTGCTGGAAAAGGATGACATCCCATGGGTTAACATCCCATTTCTTCCTCTTGGAGAGGTTTGTAGGGAATTCTTCTGGCTTGTAGGACCATTTGAAGTTTAAAGGCATCTAGACGGGATGAGATAAAGCGAGTTAACAGAATTAGAATACATGGTCCTAGGATTATGGCCATGAGTAGCATTAACAGTGATGCTGTCAATGGAAGGAGCCGTTTCCAGATCCCTCGATCCCATGCAGCCCAGGTCTCAGATAACTCCTGTTTTATTCATCTTGTTCCTTTTTTGTGTAAGAAGCAGTAATTTTATGGAGCTTCGGTATTCCAGCAAGGGCAGAAGAGTTCTCCTCCTGGGACTAGCCTCAGGTTCCTGCGGCACTCATAAAAAGACAAAATGAGAATTACTAGAAAGATAAAAACGATGATTATCCAGAAATGCCAGAGCATTTTGCCTTTAAGAGAAGATAAGAAAGAAAGTGTAAAGAATTCAGCAGGGTATTCTCTGAATCCTTTGGAGCAGGTTGATTGGCCATGTCCATTGTCTTCTTGATGGTGATCTGCAGCGGGTGTGTCTGGTCAGAGGTCACCTTCCAGTCAGGCTCCTTGTTGTCCTGGGCACAGGAGCTGGGCTTGTGACCTGGCAGAGACAAACTATAACAAATGGTCCAGAAAATACTTCAGTTTTAACAACCTGTCTTGAAATAGGATTTTTCTCCTTAAAACTACCTCTATGTTTATCAAAAAGCCAAATCAAGACCAATTTATCTACTGTATTCAATTTGGCCTGATGTTTGCATAAACACAACAAGAATGGTAACTGACTACCTTTGCCGGAATTTCATGATTGAATCTTAGTGTGCCCGTAGGGCCAGGAAGCCAAGCCACCCAACTGCCATCAGGCCTGTCTGCAGTATCTGCTGAGTTAGGTGAATCCCTCACCTACAGTGACTCCACCTAGGCCTACACTCTAGACTTTAAGGCTCATCTCAATAGCCCTTCCACTCATTGTGGATCAGGTGTCCCTATAGACTCGCCCGGAACTTGAGCTCAGAGCCTGAGACTCCCTCCCAATTGAAAACGACAACCACGCCCTCAGCTGCCAGCCCGCTCCGCACGCACTCCGCACCTTAGTATTTTACTTCAGCACTGCGCCTCCTCTGAGTCACGGTATGCTTTTCTCTTTCCTCCTAGTTATAGAACTTCCACTCAGCCAGCCTTCCTGTGGTTCTGGATGATGTCCGTTCCGTCTTTTACTTGTATTTTTGAAGTGGTTGTTCGAGGCAGCAAACTCCGGCGTTTACCTATGCGCCATCTTGGTTTCCTCAGGAGCCTAACTTTTTTCTCATGATTGAATCTTAATGTGCCCTGTAGGGTCAGGAAGCCAAGCCATCCAGCTGCCATCAGGCCTGCCTGCAGTATCTGTTGAGTTAGGTGAATCCCTCACCTGCAGCAACTCCACCTGGGCCCACGCCCTAGCTTAACCCCTATACAACTGGGCTTGGACCTCTGCCTAGCAAACTGAAGTTTACAAGTTCAGTATGCAACCTCTAGTTCTCCTAACCCAATGAGGTTCCGGCCAGTCTCTAAGTCAGACTCCTCCTCTCTTGGAGAATTTCAAAGTCCTGATGGCTCCCAGGTCCAGGGCGAGTGCCCTTTTCTTTGCCCTTTTGTTAACCCTGTTTATTATCTAATTTGTTAACCCTGTTTATTAGTTAAAGAGCCCTGCTATCTTTGTCTTCCCACCAGTCCCCTTTGTGGCAGAGCAGCAACCAGGCCTCTTCCAGGGGAGTGCACTGGAAGGGGATATTAGCCCCTCCTCTTCCAGCAGCAACAGGTACTGAACCCTTTCAGTACATTTGCAAACAGGGAGCTTTTGCTAGCTCTATCCGCAGCTTTTATAGGTCCCAGGCTTGCTGCTCTATTCCTAGGGCTGTAGGAAGGCTAGTAGTAGTTACTGGCTTCTATTTAAACTGCTGTAGCCAGTAAGCCAAAGACCCAAGTCTTGTATTGCTTGTTGTAAATACTCCTTACTCACTGGGCAACAGAGGGGCAGCTCTATTGGCAGGTAAATTTCTGCTTTCCCCCACTTCTCTCGCTGCTGCTTCTTCTTTCAGGGCCGCAGCGGGCAACTCAGGCATCCAGCCCTCCTTCTTCGACTTGGCTCTCAGGGGCTGAGTCTGCCTGGCAAACAGTTCTAAATCACCAGGGAAGCTGCAGACTTTAGCTCTGTTTCTCCTCCACTTTTCTCCTGGGAGTTTAGTTGTTTTTAATGTATTAGAATTCTTTATTCTTAGAAACCTTAATCTTTTAATGATTACTAAAAGTGAACAATCAGCATTGGTGCTCACAGAAAACTTTTGACCTTGAAGTTTGTTGATAAGGCACCTGCAGCCAGTAACATAACTGCCAACACCCCCACCCCCCTTCTCTCAGCCCATGCCTGCTGCTTTCCCCCACAGATTTTTCCTCTTTACTCTTGATCTCTCCAACCAATTTCCCTGTCCCCCAGTCCAGTTGTTTGTCTCCCTTTAAACAGTGGGAGTTTCGAAGAAAACTACAGACTGCTCCTATAGTAGGCCTCCCTCCCAGAGGCTGGGGTCCAACCTGTGGGAAACATGACTCTTAGTTGGCCTGGAAAGTTAACAGGTGCATAGGGAGATTTCTTGCAGACAGAAAGCCTGGAGGCCACCTGAAATCCAGTTACAGATGCTTTCAGAATCAGGTTAGGGAGGAAGGGAAAGGCCAGGTTATGTCCTCTATGAGGATCCTAATAAATAATT